TCCACTTCACTCTTTCTCCCTCTTTCTAAAGCTTTCCAGTGGCACCTTTCCTCTCCCTCAACACAGAGGCCTAAGGAAATGCGGGCCTTTGCACTTGCTCCCTCCCTCTCCTCTACTCCTATTCTTGCCCATCCACACCTTCACAACCACACCCTCCCACTGAGCTGCAGGCTCCCAGATAAGAGGGTGGAGTTCCTTTCCCAGGACCAGCTCTATTTTTCCCTGAACCGGGTTTGGTTACCGGTGAATCCCTTGCTGTGGTCAGTGTCTTAACAGGCTTCCAGAGCCTGCCTCTTCTCACCAGAGCTAGTACCCTTGATGCTTCATTACTCAAACCCCTTCCCTGTCTTCCCAAGCTGGGTGAATGCTCATTGCTATCTGATGATAAGGCCTAAGGAATCTCAGAGTGGGTAAGCAGAGGAGGCTGCCTGGACCCTCAATCTTCCCTAAAATGCCCTTCAATGCAACACGATGCCTCGTTTAAATTTCTACCAATTTTTATGGATTACACCATTAGCACGAGCCTAGGGATTTCCAAAACAGGACTATAACATCTTAGAACGCTAGAATTTCAGAGCCACAAGGGGCCTTGGAGACCATCAAGTTCAGTTCCCTCAGTCAAGAAGACAGGTAACTTGCCCATGGTTCTAGGGCAGAGTCGGGCTGAGACCACAGCCCTCCAGCTCTCTGTTCAGTCACTCCACATCGGCCCCAAGATTCTTGCCCCCACTTTCAACCACTGTGCCTACGTTTTCAATTTTAAGGACCTCATTTGAACCTCATTTGAAGGACCTCATTTGAACCTCAGAGAATTCATAAACAGACTCTGGAACTACAAAAGCTGCCATATCCCTATAAAACCAAAGGCACCAAGAGCAGAGGAGTCCATTTTAGTTCCAAGGAAATGCCCATATCCAAAACAGGGAAGAAAAAGCTGACCCAGAGATTTTTAAAAAGGAAGAGAGAAAACAGCAAACTTCACAAGGGCTTGTACTTTTATCTTTGTGCTTCTGTGTCAGTGGATCTCCCAGTTAAATTAAGAGAATTATTTTTACCCAGTCAGGGCACCTGGGACTGAAGTGTTATAAGAGTGGTCTCACAATGTCTGTGTTTGGGAGGTGGGGTACTGTGAATTCAAGACAACTAATTGGAACCCTACTTGGGCTTCCTTGATTACTAAATAACAATTCGGGATCATCTAAGCAGAACCAGAAAGAGTATTGGAAAGGAGAAATTTATGGTCAGAAAGTTTCAGATCTACCCTGGCTGAAGCTGATGAGCTCTTCCCCAGGGCTGACATCCATCTTGCAAGCCAGCAATTAGTCCGGGGTTACAATGGATTGGCAACTTGTTCCTGTAGTTCTCATGACAGGTGGTTAACAATGTGAAGGTGTGAGCTACAAGAACTATAAACCAAGTTATGGGATCACCGGAACAGGGCTGGGTTAGATGCCTGTGCCTCTGGTTTTGGACTCATTTAACCATGACCTCGTGGGTAGCAACTGGGTGTGTCCTTCTGAGTATGGACATCCAAGAGTCCCAGACATCTCCAAGCTTTTGTGTCAGGCATCCGGTAAGTTAAAGAAGAAACCATATTCATGTGTTTAGAAAATGAAATATCTCAGAATCCCATCATGTGGGTATAGCTGACTAGATATATAGTTTGAAAGCTTTAAAAATGCTTCCTGTTCTTTTTGAGTCTTAGGTCATAATAACCATACTGATCCAACAAGTTTCACCCATTAAATATTAATTAAGGGTTAGGTGTTTAGAGGATAAAGGGAACTGCGAAGAGCAACAACGAAATCGGAATAGAGAATTTCTGTGTACCGAGGACTGCAGACCTAAGAACAAAGTATAGAAGTTACAGAGAAGCCAACTGGGCTGGATTTAAGATTTTCTAATAATTAGAGCTGTCCAGCAACGTGGGGCGGGGGGGGGGCGCAGCATGGAGGTGGGGAGCATGGAGGCGCACTCTGAGGTAGGAAGCCCCCCTACTCTGCATATTTTAAGGACATGCAAAATGGCCATCTGTCCAAGGTGGTGTTAAAATAGGATTTCTGCATATGGTGGGAGAATGAATGAATTGATCTTTCAAACTGAGAATCCCTCTCAAACTGAGAATTTGGTGTACAAAATTAAAAATAGAACATAACTAAATATGCCTTGTGCCCTTTTCTTTTTTTTTTTTTAAGAGTTTATTATTTATTTATTTGACAGACAGAGATCACAATCAGGCAGAGAGGCAGGCAGAGAGAGAGAGAGAGAGAGAGAGAGGAGGAAGCAGGCTCCCCACTGAGCAGAGAGCCCGATGTGGGGCTCCATCTCAGGACCTGAGATCATGACCTGAGCCGAAGGCAGAGGCCTTAACCCACTGAGCCACCCAGGCGCCCCTGCCTTGTGCCCTTTTCTGGGACCATTTTTCAGATCTGCTCCCCAGTCAGGCTCTGAGGAGTCTACAGAGTAGCATTTTGCTTCATCTGAAAGCCTTCTAGGGCTCTGACTGCGCTCTCTCCATTGACCCCAGAGCATCTGGCCTAAATGAAAGGCCCCAGAGCCCCCGCCCCTCCAGACCAAGCCAAGGGGCTCTGCAACCCCAGGTGGTCTTTATGGAGCCCACTCCCACGGGCGCCCCCAGGTCTGGATGGTCGCCTGGAACTGGATGAGGATGGGCCCAAGCGGGTCCCCGGAGGGGAAGCAGGAAGAGTTGGGAAAGTCACAGTCTTCCTGGTCAGTGGAAGGGATGTGCCCTCCGCTCCCTCAGAGATGTGCCCTGTCCTCCTAGGAGGTAGCCAGCCTCCGTTCTGGGATGTAGCCTGCTCTGGGCTGGCCCTTGATGGCCTTCTGCCAACTCCCAGGACAATATAGTGCCCTTAAACAATGTAAAATCTGGGGGGTCCTCTGACCAGGACGCCAGACCGGATGGCCTGCCGCCCTCCAGACAGCACTCCACCCCCGCCCCATTCTTCAGTCTGTGGCAGAATCCAGTGGGCCTCTGAGGGTGGGAGGGAAAAAATAACCCTCACATTTCAGGATTTTCAAAGACTTGCAGCTGAAATCCAGAAAAACTCCTGCCTCTAAGGAGCTCCCTCACTCTTTCTTTTTTTCTTTTTTTTTTTAAAGGTTTTATTTATTTACTTGACAGACAGAGATCACAAGTTGGCAGAGAGGCAGGCAGAGAGAGAGAAGGAAGCAGGCTCCCTGCAGAGCAGAGAGCCCGATGTGGGGCTCAATCCCAGGACCCTGGGATCATGACCTGAGCCGAAGGCAGAGGCTTTAACCCACTGAGCCACCCAGGCGCCCCTCCCTCACTTTCTTTTTGGAGGCATCGGGGAAAGCAGGAATTAGAATGGCATTTTCAAAATTGTCCTCAAGCTCCAGGAAATACCATTTATCATAGTGTATTTTCTCACTTCTAGAACTATAGCATAATGGGAAATGCTGCACAAAAAATGCAATTCAGGATGGTCTACACCCGCAGATTTCTCAGTGTTTTCTGTCTGCTGACCGCTGAAGTATCGCCTATAGTTTAAACTTGAACAAGAACTACAAGAAGATTTGTACTAGATTCATGGAACAGCATTACTATCGACTCTAATAATGGCTTCCCTTAATCCACAGCCATGTAATCTGGAAATAATAAACATTTTAAGCAAATGTGGGAGTTCCCTGCATCTTGAAAAGTTTCCCTTGCACTTAGTTAATCATCCCCTCGAGGGCGGTTTTACGAGGCGTCTGTGCAATGTACACGGGCTGATTATATTTAAATCTTCTCTTCCAACCAACGGCATTTCTGAAGGAAAAGCCTAATTTCATCAGACAAGCTGAATCCTGTCATTTTCCTCGGCTTGTTTATGTAGGGAGAAAATAAAACCAGCCTCTATGTTGAAATAGGCCACACCTCAACCAAAACGCTAACCCAAAACAAAACAAAACAAAACAAAACAAAAAGCAAATAGAAATCACCCTTCCTCCTTTCTCTAGATTCACGTTATGATTAGCATGAGTGTTTGCATTTGCACAACTGCATTTTGGAAGAGTGAGAAGATAAATGGTCCAAGACAATCACTGACTTCCATGAGGAAAAATCTCACATCAACCAAAAAAATCAGTTTATTATTGCTAAGATGGCATCTTTTCACTCAGCTCTAAAATTTCTAGGGTGGAAGCACAAAGCCATTCAACTTTTTTTTTTAAAGCAGGAACAGATGAAGTTCCCCTACCCCACCCTCTCCTCCCTGTTTCCCTCCTGTCTCTTCCCATCCTCTACATCTGGCAAGGAGAGAAGGAGCTCTGGTCTGGATTCCCCATCAGGCTGATTTGCACCAAATGAAACTCTCCCACATATTACTTGAAACACCAGTTGAAACCCCCCCCCCCACCTCTCTGTTTTCTTTAAAAAGCCCCATCCCCTCCTCCCACCTTGAAGGGAGAAGTAAAACTGATATTTAAACAAAAGTGAATGAAAAAGCTGAAAGACCCCTTTGTCTAAGCAACAGCAAAAGTGAACTAAAAAGCACCTATTGATCCATCATCCAAAAAAGATCAGCAAACGATGGACAAGAGAGACAACTCAAACCCTGAATGCATTTGAATCAAAACGGCCAACCTGGAAAACATCTGGCAAGTCCTTTCAAAGGTATGCAGTGTTTCCTCCGTAAAGAATCCCTTATCCCGGTGTGTTCCAAAGTCCTTGCTCCCTGCTCCCAAGCAAGAAACCAGTTCCTGCAAAACGTGATCACGGCCCAGGCCCGCTGAATTCCCCCGGGGCTCCCAACTCCCCCTGTCAAAAGGCATTTTCCCGAAACTCACAGAAAAAGTGGTCTGGGTATCCACTTGTAGCCAGAAGTTTCAAGAATTCAATCCAGAGGATTACAGGAAGAAAAAGCACAAGAAAAAAATTAAAAAGCAAGACTTAGATGACAAGGTCGGGAGAAGGAGAGCAGAGAAGGAAAGAGAAAGTTCACTGAGCTTCCCAGCGGCCCTGGAAGGTGTCCTACCTGAGGATTCCGGGCACTGAAGCACCCTGAGTAGCAGGAGCTGGTGGCTGCCCTGTCCGCTCTTCTGGAGGTATGTGACCGCAGTGAGGGGAGGGACCTGCTTCCCGGGGTTATAAGTTTCCAGCGCTGGTGTGCTGGGGTGTGTGATGGGCGGTTTCTTTTCACTCTGTTTTAAAGGAGTTTCTATGAATCAGTCTGACTAAAAAAAAAAAAAAAAAAAGATTTGTTGGTAAGTTACGCCCTGCTAGGTTGGCAGCTGGTCAAGAGAGGCTGGGAGTGAGCCATCAATTCAAAGAAGCCTGTTTAGGCTCTCTCTGACTCACACATACAGACCACAGTGGAAAAAGGAGTGACATTGCTTCAAATGAGTAATAGAAGTCACACAAATAGATCTGTTTACCGAAGCCCATTCCTCCTCACCGAAAAAGAGACTTGGTTACCATGGGCAGAGCCAAAACACAAGTTCTCTGTCCGAAGGTTCATCTGGGGAGGGGGAGACAAAGGGACACGGCCCTGCCCCCTGAAATCCTAGCTAATCATCCAAGGAGATCCCCATCCGTCCTCCCCCACCTAAGGCATCCGTGGCTGCCCACTGTCAAGAACGAGCAGATTGATTTTTTCTTTGCTTCCCCGCCTCACCCCTGTGCACTCTCCTATGGGCAGCCGTAACTCGAAGCCTGGGAACCAGGAGAGCACACACGGAGAGCTCTTGTAACCCAGGCTCTGACTGATGGAGCGCAGGCTAAACCCCAGGCTGGCCTTTAATTATACTCTGAATGCCCCTGTGGACTCCTCACATTCGGGAGCTAGTCCCCTGCTGAAGGACTTTGCTCTCTCATCTCCATGTAATAATCATCTGGACCTTGCTCCATAGTTGAGCTCCAGCAGGAGGGGCCCTGGAAGTCACCTAACCCCACAGCCCCGGCAGCAGTCCCTGGAGATGAGAGCTCAGATGCTGGTCAAGCCCACTCTCCACTTACTGGCTATGTGGCTGTGGACAAACGGACCTCCCTAGGCCAGTCTCCTTGTGCATCCAATGGGGGCAGAAGGTACCCATCTCACAGAGCTGTGGTTAGAAATACACCGAGAGAGGGGGTCCTGGGTGGCTCAGTCAGTTAAACATCTGCCTTTGGCTCAGGTCCTGATCCCGGGGTCCTGGGATCGAGTCTTGCATGGGACTCCCTGCTCAGCTGGGAGTGAGGCATCGTCAATTAGCAGAGGCAGCTTGGATCCCAGTCTGCCACATTCATTCAACTGTTTCTGTTCTCTGCTGCATAGGGACGACCTATTTTAATTCAAATTATTCTTCTGCAGTTATGCATTTATTCAACCAACACACCTGCATGTTGCATGAGGCCCAGTTCAGAGCACTGGGTCACAGATGTGAGCAAGATCCCTGTCCTCTTGGAACTTCTTCTCCATAATTGAGGGTGGGCTGTGGCTATTCACCAAAATTTTGATAAAATTGGATGGTAAAATTGCAGGTGAATTTCAGTCTCCTCTGGGTCACATTTCTACATTTTCCAAATCTTCTGCAATGAACCTACATTACTTTGGTTTTTAGGAAGAATATTTTAAAGTGGAAAGGAGAGAATATTTTCTGAAGTGGATGCTGGGAAAAACATCACACACACATGTACACACACGTCACACACACACCCCGATTTGATACCACATCTTCCCAAATCCTGGAGAACTGAAGTCTGTCCCTGGAAGGCTGAGACAGTGTAGGTTTTTCATTAAAAACTTAAAAAAAAAAAAAAGTGATTTGACACAAGATCGCATCAGTTTCTCATATCTTTCCTCACCTCCTCCTCCTCCATCACTCATTTGATAATAAAAGTGCCTGTTTGAGAAAAGCCACTCCCAGGAGTGGGTTAGGAGGCCCTGTGATCTCTGAGTAGCCTAACCCTCAGGGAGGGGAGGACAGTGAGGCCCAGGAACCCTCGCTGGCTTTCGGGGCAGAACAACAGAAGGACAGAATGACAAGCACATCCTCTCCCAGCTACAGCCTCCAGCCTTCCCCTCCAAGGTCTTCTGCCAGCTTCAAACTCCCTCTCCCCACCACCCCACCCCTGCAGCACGTGAAGGAGACTGGGCTCTGAGGGGGTAAAGTCCTGGGATGCTGAGAAGTATGTGGTCTGGTTGCATTTTTTTATTAAGAAATCTGATGCAGGGGTCCTGGGTGGCTCAGTGGGTTAAAGCCTCTGCCTTCGGCTCAGGTTGTAATTCCAGGGTCCTGGGATCTAGTCCTGCATCAGGCTCTCTGCTCAGCGGGGAGCCTGCTTCCTCCTCTCTCTCTGCCTGCCTCTCTGTCTACATGTGATCTCAGTCTGTCAAATAAATAAATAAAATCTTAAAAAAAAGAAAAGAAATCTGGAGCCAAGAAACACTGGAGGGGAAACGCTTTCTCCCTTGCTCCCTTCTCAAGCTAACAAAGGAGAAAGGCAGAAACTTCTCTTCAGGTACTGAAACAGAGGAGACATTTGGTCCGGCTGGATTCCTGCACTGGGTTTGAAAGGAAGAGGCAGTGCATTAACAGGCGGTGGGGGGGGGGGCATCATCCATTTTTCTTCTCCCTCTGCCTGGCAGTGGGCTGGCAAATGAGCTGGTCTCCTGCATTTCCACTTCAAAGTGAGTCCATGTCCTCTCCTTCCAAATGGACCTAATAAAATCTCACCTGCCTGGGCCCTTTGCTGATGTTGAGGGTTTGGAGAGAAAATCTCAAATGCTTTGAGCTCTTAAAACACACACACACATACACATAGTGGTGTCATATAAAGCTAAGTATTTTTTAAAAATAAAGGCCAGTCCAGGAGCTCTAAGGCTCATGATTAACCCTTGAAATGTCACTGAACTTATTTTATACAACAAAGTCATCCAGTCTGGGAAGGAAATCAGGTCTGTTCGGGCTGCAGCTCCAGCTTACCGTGCCTCTGGTTGTGATTCGAATGTGAAGTCCTATTCGTTCCATGGCCACGAGCTTCAGACTGTGGATAGGAAAGAATTCAGGGGTCTAACACCACATGGGGCCGGAGAACGAAACTCTCTCTGCCCTCTGCATGGGTCTTTGCCAACTCTACGGGGTCATCTGCCTTTCTGCTCTATGCTCCCGTGCCCCTCATCGGGAGGGTAGGTTAGACACTTTCATTTTCCACATGGATAAAGAACCAGGCAAAGTTTCATGTGACCTCCATAAAGTCACATATTCTCAGGAAGGAATGTCCCCTCTTGCCCAGTGCCACAGTGTTACCCTCAAGTACGAGAATATTTTTCCCTCCTTCTGAAGCAATGAGCATCGGCATTTGGCACGATGCCATGTGGGGCTGATTTTCAAGTTTGAACTGGCGTACACACTTTTAATGAATGTACAAATCAAGGGCTTCTCATGACGAGATACCAGGAGAAATCTGCGAAGGTAGGTCTGACCCCTGATGGCTCCCAGAAAAGAGAACTAATATAGCTTCAATTTGTTCTTGCACAAACTCGGTTAGCCAACAGGAATCTCAGACATGTTCCCCAAAGCCATTATACGTGCAGAGGATGTCAATGCTAGTATTAGCAAACACTGCTTGAGAGGTAGCTAAGTTGAAAGGAAGTTACCTAGCATCTTCCAAAACCAAATGAGTGTTCCTTGCCACTCCTCTTTGAAACTTGAGAATTTACCAGAAATTTCATATTCTTCCCTCTTTTCCCTCCTGCCGTGCTCCTGTCCTTATTTCTCCCTCAGACTGTTTTCTTCCTGCCTGCATCGTTTCCTTTCTCTAAATCCCTCTCAGTGACACGTCCTCTGAATAGAATTCCACAAAATGGGAAGGCTCTCAAGCCCTCTCAGTCTCCCCCTTTCTTGTCTCAGCGAGCTTGTCCCGAAACTGCTTTTGAAAGATAAAATTCATGAAACTCTGAGAGCGTTCCAAGAATGCGGGCCCTCGGCCTGGCACTTGCAGCTGAGTGGAAAGTCTCACCGACCCAGCGGTGTGATGGCGTCGAAGAGGAAGGGCTGTCGAAGGCATCTGAACTTGGCAGGGGAAAGGAGCCAACCCTGCCACCTTGGACAGTTACCAGATTGATAACTAATGACCGTCTTTAAGTTCTTAGGTAGCTGGGATGTGTATGGATGCTGGAAATGGCTGAAGGAACGGAACGCCCGAGCCGTGTCCACAAGGCGACATCTTCAAAGCCAGAGAAGCCAGAAAACAAATAAATGATGATCAAAATAAAAAGTGAAAAGCTCCTTCTCCAGCTAATGTCAATGGCAATACTGGGGAGGCGGGGGGGGTTATTAAAGGTATATTGCCTTCTTCGCGTTGCCCCTCATGTTACTGAATGCATTATTCCTCCTGCTTCACTGACCATTTCAGGGAAAGCACTGAATATTTATAATTAAAGAATGACTCTCCCTCCCTTTCCCTACAGTAGTGGGCAGCAGGTTCAGTAAGTAGATGCTGGGTACAGAGCAATTACTCAATTAAAACCTAGTACATTTAATTAACAAAGTGTCCAATCCCAGATAAAGAAATCTCATTCCTCCAAAATTTTCCCGTCCAACTCAGAGACTGAACTGAGCACCCCTATGGCTAGGCTTCCAGAGATATGAGAAAGCAGTTAGCACATAGGTTGACATTTGCCCGGGGAAAATTGCCAGGAAAGAAGGCACAAAGCTAGGCAGCCCAGCCCAGGACTCCACTGGGACCGTGTGGTCAGCAGAGCATACGAGACACAGTGACACTCTAGAGATGATCTTGATACCAAGTTAACACTTTCAAGGACATGAATAGTTTCCTGGTGGAAACAAACAAGCAAACACTAGTAAAGTGCCTCCATTATTCAGCCTCATTGGAAAATGGAGTATTCTTTCCAGTTAAATTTTAGGTTAATTGATTGAATATTTTCTAAGTCTTGCAGGACTAAATAGACGTCTTTCAAATCCCTAAGACTCGCACCATGTGTGTGCGCGCACACAAGATGGCCTTTGCCATTCCAAACACACGGATGCCAGGTCCACTCCACTCTTTGTGGGTGGTATGTAGGAAGTTCTCTCAAGGCTCTGGAACTTGGCAGAGACTGTGGCCACAGGATTCCCGACCGTTCTTCCCTAGCAGGGCTGGGTAAATGCTGACAAATACGCAAAGGGTATTTTATATAAAATACATAAAAAAGAGGGTCCTTTTTCAGACCCTTTACTGGTTTTTCCTCCTTGGTTAGCACACTGTGCCTTCAGCCAA